CACCCTGCTGTGATAACCCTGCTATAGGCACCCTGCTGTGCCCTATAGACACCCTAACGATATCGCCGCCGACTACAGGCTTTGATAACCTCCCCTATAGGCACCCTGCTGTTATAACCCCGCTATTGGCGTCTACTGTCATAACCCCACTATTGGCACCCTGCGGTGATACCCACTATGAATCACCTGCTGCTGATACCCCACTATAGGTATCCTGCTGAATATCCCCACTATAGGTACCCTACGGCGATATCACCTCAAATGCCTCTGCGAAAACCCACTATAGGCACACTGCTGTGATAACCCGCTATAGGCATACTGCCGATAACCCCGCTATGGGCACCCTGCTTTGATAACCCCACTATAGTCACCCTGCTGTGATAACCCCACTATAGGTATCCTGCTGTGATAACCCCACTATAGGTACCCTGCTGTGATACTTCCGCTATAGGCACCCTGCTGTGATAACCACTATAGGCACCCCTGTTCGATAACCCCACTATAGTCACCTGCTGTGATAACCCCACTATAGGGATCCTGCTGTGATAACCCCACTATAGGTACCCTGCTGTGATAACCATGCAATAGGCACCCTGCTGTGATAACCCCCACTATGACGCCCTGCTGTGATAACCCGCTATGGGCACCTGCTGTGATAACCTATAGGCACCCTGCTGTCATACCACTATAGACACCCTGCTGTGATATCCCCGCCATAGGCACCCCAGGCTTTGATAACCTCCCTATAAACCCTGCTGTTATAACCCCTATTGGCATCCTACTGTCATAACCCACTATTGGCACCCTCAGTGATAACCCCACTATGGTCACCTGTGATAACCCCACTATGGGTATCCTAACAGTGTCCCCCACTATAGGTACCCTACTGCGTGTCCACTATAGGCACCCTGTGGCAAAAACCCACTATGGGCACTGCTGTGGATAACCCCGCTATAGGCACTCTGCTGTGATAACCCGCTATAGGCACCCTGCTTGATAACCCCACTATAGTGCCTGCTGTGATAACCCCACTATAGGTATCCTGCTGTGATACCCCACTATAGGTGCCTGCGATAACCCGCTATAGGCACCCTGCTGGCGATAACCCCGCTATAGGCCTGCTGTGATAACCCCACTATGGCACCCTGCTGTGATAACCCCGCTGAACACCTGCACGATAACCCCACTATGAGTCACCCTGCGATAACCCCACTATGGGAATCATAACAGCGATAACCCCACTATGAACTACCTGCTGTGATAACCATGCAATAGGCACCCTGCTGTGATAACCCCACTATAGGCCCCTGCTGTGATAACCCCACTATAGTCACCCTACAGTGATACACCCCACTATGGGTATCCTGCTGCTGATAACCCACTCAGGTACCCTGCTGTGATATCGCTATAGGCACCCTGCTGGAAAACCCCACTATAGGCACATAAATGTAAGTGTGGCCATACATATAGCCACACACTTGAACCTCGATCCTCGACTGTGTGAAGATAGAACAGCACAGGACGGTCAACACACTGTGTGATAACACTTCATCTCTAATGAGATAGCTGACGTTGTTATCGCACTCAGTAACTATATCAGTTCTCATGTACAGAACCAAATACGCAATGGCGAATACTCCCACGTGTGAATAATACAAAGTGTGAGGCCAGACATACTGCCTCACACGCCTGTTCTCACGCATTTGTGAATAAGTTACCCTCTATGTATAGAACTAAACAAATAATGTAAATGAAATATGTAACTTTCGGTGCCATATCCTGACAACGGGGTTAATTATTATGACCCTTTGTAAACCTACTCTGTAATCTTTTGCGCTACCGCTCACAGGATGAGTGTGGGTGCACAATAGTAACCGCTGCAAGCAGCAAAATCAAAAATCAAAATCAATGCTGTGATAACCGCTATAGGCACCCTGCTGTGATAACCCGCTATAGGCATCCTGCTTTGATAATCACTATAGGCACCTGCTGTCCATGGCCCCACTATAGGCACCCTGTTTTTATAACCGCTATGGGCATCCTACTGTCCATAACCCCACTATGGGCACCCTCGGCGATAACCGCTATAGGCACCTTGCAGTGATACACACTATGGGCACCCTGCTGCCATCCCCACTATAGGCACCCTGCTGTGATAACCCGCTATAGGCACCTTGCAATGAAATAGCACACTATAGGCACCTGCTGTGATAACCCCAATATGGCGCCCTGCTGTGATAACCCCGCTATAGGCACCTTGCGGTGATAACCACACATAGGCACCCTGCTGTGATAACCCGCTATGGCACCTTGCAGTGATAACCCCACTATAGGCACACCAACATGACGCTATAGGCACCTTGCGGTGATAACCTTGCTATGGGCAACCTGCTGTGATAACCTCGCTATAGGCATCCTGCTGTGATAACCCCACTATAGGCACCCTGCTGTGATAACCCGCTATAGGCACCGTTAACCCCACTATAGACACCTGGCAAAATAACCCGCTATAGGTGGCCCTGGTGCCCGCTATTGGCACCTGCTGTGATAACCCCGCTATGGGTACCCTGCTGTGATAACTGCACTATTTATTTATTACCCCGCTATAGGCATCTCTGATAACCGCTATAGGGTCCTGCTGTGATAAACCCGCTATAGGCACCTGCTTTGATAACCGCTATCGGCACCCTGCTGTGATAATCCCGCCATAGGCACCCTGCTGTGATAAACCCAATTATAGGGCATCCTACTGTGATAACCCTGCTATAACCCTGCTGTGATAACCCCACTATAGGCACCCTGCTGTGATATCCCCACTATAGGCACCCTCATTATAACCCCGTTATTGGCAACTCATTGTCATAACCCCTGCTATAGGCACCCTGTGATAAACCCCGCTATAGGTACGCTACTGTCATCACCCACTATAGGCATCTCTGTGATAACCCGCTATAGGAACCCTGCTGTGATAACCCCACTATAGGCACACTGCTGTGATAACCTCCTATAGGCACCATGCTGTTATAACCCCGCTATAGGGCATCCTCTGTCATCACCCCACTATAGCATCCCGTCATTACCCCACCATAGGCACACTGCAGATAACCCCTGCTATAGAACCCCACGACAACAGGCACACTGCTGCAACCTGCCAGGCACCCTCACTGTCATAACCCCGCTATAGGCACCCTGCTGTGCGACCCCGCTAGGCACACTGCAACCTGCTAGCACAACACTGTCAAGCCCGCTATAGGCACCCTGCTGTGATAACCCGATAGGGCACCCTGCTCTCATAACCCCACTATAGGCACCCTGCTGTGATAACCCGCTATAGGCACTGCTGTCATAACACCGCTATAGGCAACCTCTGTGATAAACCTCATAGCATCCCTTGATAACCCCGCAATAGGCACCCTGCTGTGATAACCCCGCTATAGGCACCCGCTGTCATAACCCCACTATAGGCACCCTGCTGTGATAACCCCGCTATAGCCTGCTGTGATAACCCCGGTATAGGCACTTCGTCATAACTTGTACTATAGGCATCCTGCTGTGAAAATTCGACATAGGCACCCTGCTGATAACCCCGATATAGAACACTGCTGTTGGTAACCCCGCTATAGGCAACCCTGCTGTCATAACCCCTGCTATAGGCACCCCTGCTGTCACAACCGCTATGCACACTGCTGTCATAACCCCTATAGGCACACTACTGTCATAACCCCGCTATAGGCACCCTGCTCATAACCCCACTATAGGCACCCTGCTGTGATAACCCCGCTATAGGCACCTTTCTGTGATAACCTCTATAGGCACCCTGCTGTGATAACCCCGCTATAGGTTTCGCTTTGATAATCACCAATGCACCCTGTTGCATAACCCCGCCATAGGCATCCTTCTCAGATGACCCCTATAGGCACTCCTGCTGTGACAACCCGCCATAGGCACCCTGCTGTGATAACCCCTGCCATAGGCATCCTGCTGTGATAACCCCACTAATGCACCCTGCTGTGATAACCCGCTATAGGCATCCTTCTGTGATGACCCCTATAGGCACCCTGCTGTGATAACCCCGCTATAGGCACCCCTGCCGTGATAACCTCACATAGGCACCGCTGTTATAACCCCACATAGGCATCCTGCTGTGATAACCCCACTATAATGCACCCTGCTGTGATAACCCCTGCTATAGGCACCCTGCCGTGATAACCCCGCTATAGGCACCTCGCTGTGACAACCCATAGGCACCGCTGTTATAACCCCGCTGCAGGCACCCTGCCGTGATAACCCCGCTATAGCATCCTGCCGTGATAACCCACTATAATGCACCCTGCTGTGACAATCCCGCTATAGGCACCCTGCTGCGATAACCCCGCTATAGGCACCCTGCTGTGATAACCCCGCAGAAACAGTACTATCTAGGGAAACGGTACTACCTAGAGACAGTACTACCTAGAGGAACAGTACTCACCTAGAGAGAAACAGTACTACCTAGAGACAGTACTCACTCTAGAGGAACAGTACTCACCTAGAGACAGTACTCACCTAGAGAAACAGTACTCACCTAGAGACACTACCCACCCAGAGACACTACCCACCTGAGACAGTACTCACCTAGAGGAACAGTACTACCTAGAGACAGTACTCACCTAGAGAAACAGTACTCACCTAGAGACACTACCACCTAGAGACACTACCCACCTAGAGACAGTACTCCACCTAGAGAAACAGTATCACCTAGAGACAGTACTCACCTAGAGGAACAGTACCACCTAGAGACAGTATCACCTAGAGAAACAGTACTCACCTAGAGACTACCCACCTAGAGACACTACCACCTAGAGACAAGTACTCACCTAGAGGAACAGTACTCACCTAGAGACAGTACTCACCTAGAGAAACAGGTACCACCTAGAGACACTACCCACCTAGAGACACTACCCACCTAGAGACAGTACCCACCTAGAGAAACAGTACTCACCTAGAGAGACAGTACTCACCGAGAGACGGCACATACACGTTGAGGTAGAGACAGTCTTCAGCTTGGTGGGTGAGATAGTTAGCCAGCCGTCGTATGTGTGTGAGACGGGCTTTGGGGACACCAGCCTCTGACTCCTCCTCCCACAGCTCCGGCAGGTGTTGAGGGCAGACGGGGCCGTACTGGTCTGCCACACGCTCACCTGCCCAAGGGCTCGGCGTCCTCGTGGGGCTGAACCTGTTAGAGCCGATGGGGGGCGCGGCATAAGGTACCCCGAGGAAGACTTCCACAGGTCTTAGATGTTTGTTAGGTAAAGGTCGTATTGAACCTCGTAACTTTCCGTATTTTGTTGTGACGACTCGTGGGCTTCGTTTCTCAGCGGCCACAACACCCAACAATGTAGTGAACAAGAGTATTAACATCATCACTCTCACTAGTGATACTCTCATGGCTCGCTGGGCACCACCACCACCACCACCACCACAACTACCAACATCCACGTCGGTCACTTGGTCAGCTTGGGTCCTCCTCCGTCTCCCGTCACAGCTCCGTCGTCGACTCGCGTCATGTTGCATGGGAACCAACAGTGCTGGTGACCATTGTCTCAGCATCGCACGCCTGCTGTGTTACACGGCGTGGAGTACACTACTCCTTGGTGTTCCTTTCTTCACGCCTCAACCATCCTCAGAACACTGCCGCCCAGCACTCCGGGAAGGTGTGTGAGGGTGACAAGGACCTGCCAGCGACGGTCACATTACTTCCTTAATGACTGTACACAGCGCCTGTTGGGGGAGAGATAACACGTGTTACTAGTGGTGATAACATGTGTTGGGGGAGAGATAACACGTGTTACTAGTGGTGATAACATGTGTTGGGGAGAGATAACACGTGTTACTGGTGATAACATGTGTTGGGGAGAGATAACACGTGTTACTAGTGGTGATAACATGTGTTGGGGAGAGATAACACGTGTTACTAGTGGTGATAACATGTGTTGGGGAGAGATAACATGTGTTACTAGTGGTGATAACATGTGTTGGGAGAGATAACACGTGTTACTAGTGGTGATAACATGTGTTGGGGAGGTAACACGTGTTACTAGTGGTGATAACATGTGTTGGGGAGAGATAACACGTGTTACTAGTGGTGATAACGTGTTGGGAGAGATAACACGTGTTACTGGTGATAACATGTGTTGGGGAGATACACGTGTTACTAGTGGTGATAACATGTGTTGGGGAGAATAACACGTGTTACTAGTGGTGATAACATGTGTTGGGGAGAGATAACACGTGTTACTAGTGGTGATAACATGTGTTGGGAGATAACACGTGTTACTAGTGGTGATAACATGTGTTGGGGAGAATAACACGTGTTACTAGTGGTGATAACATGTGTTGGGGAGAGATAACACGTGTTACTAGTGGTGATAACATGTGTTGTGGGGAGAGATAACACGTGTTACTAGTGGTGATAACATGTGTTGGGGAGAGATAACACGTGTTACTAGTGGTGATAACATGTGTTGGGGAGAGATAACACGTGTTACTAGTGGTGATAACATGTGTTGGGGAGATAACACGTGTTACTAGTGGTGATAACATGTGTTGGGGAGACCGTGTTACTAGTGGTGATAACATGTGTTGGGGAGAGATAACACGTGTTACTAGTGGTGATAACATGTGTTGGGAGAGATAACACGTGTTACTAGTGGTGATAACATGTGTTGGGGAGAGATAACGTGTTACTAGTGGTGATAACATGTGTTGGGGGAAGATAACACGTGTTACTAGTGGTGATAACATGTGTTGGAGAATTACGTGTTACTAGTGGTGATAACATGTGTTGGGGAGAGATAACACGTGTTACTAGTGGTGATAACATGTGTTGGGAGAATAACACGTGTTACTAGTGGTGATAACATGTGTTGGGAGAATAACACGTGTTACTAGTGGTGATAACATGTGTTGGGGAGAGATAACACGTGTTACTAGTGGTGATAACATGTGTTGGGGAGAGATAACACGTGTTACTAGTGGTGATAACATGTGTTGGGGAGAGATAACACGTGTTACTAGTGGTGATAACATGTGTTGGGGAGAGATAACACGTGTTACTAGTGGTGATAACATGTGTTGGGAGAGATAACACGTGTTACTAGTGGTGATAACATGTGTTGGGGAGAGATAACACGTGTTACTAGTGGTGATAACATGTGTTGGGGAGAGATAACACGTGTTACTAGTGGTGATAACATGTGTTGGGGGAGAGATAACACGTGTTACTAGTGGTGATAACATGTGTTGGGGGAGAGATAACACGTGTTACTAGTGGTGATAACATGTGTTGGGGAGAGATAACACGTGTTACTAGTGGTGATAACATGTGTTGGGGAGAGACACGTGTTACTAGTGGTGATAACATGTGTTGGGGAGAGAATAACTGAGTAGTGATAACATGTGTTGGGAGAGATAACACGTGTTACTAGTGGTGATAACATTGTGTTGGGGAGAGATACACGTGTTACTAGTGGTGATAACATGTGTTGGAGAGATAACACGTGTTACTAGTGGTGATAACATGTGTTGGTGGGAGATAACACGTGTTACTAGTGGTGATAACATGTGTTGGGGAGAGATAACACGTGTTACTAGGTGATAACATGTGTTGGGGAGAGATAACACGTGTTACTAGTGGTGATAACATGTGTTGGGGAGAGATAACACGTGTTACTAGTGGTGATAACATGTGTTGGAGAGATAACACGTGTTACTAGTGGTGATAACATGTTGGGGGAGAGATAACACGTTACTAGTGGTGATAACATGTGTTGGGGGAGAGATAACACGTGTTACTAGTGGTGATAACATGTGTTGGGGAGAGATAACACGTGTTACTAGTGGTGATAACATGTGTTGGAGAGATAACACGTGTTACTAGTGGTGATAACATGTGTTGGGGAGAGATAACACGTGTTACTAGTGGTGATAACATGTGTTGGGGGAGAGATAACACGTGTTACTAGTGGTGATAACATGTGTTGGGGAGAGATAACACGTTACTAGTGGTGATAACATGTGTTGGGGGAGAGATAACACGTGTTACAGTGGTGATAACATGTGTTGGGGAGAGATAACACGTGTTACTAGTGGTGATAACATGTGTTGGGGGAGAGATAACACGTTACTAGTGGTGATAACATGTGTTGGGGGAGAGATAAACGTGTTACTAGTGGTGATAACATGTGTTGGGGGAGAGATAACACGTGTTACTAGTGGTGATAACATGTGTTGGGGAGAGATAACACGTGTTACTAGTGGTGATAACATGTGTTGGGGAGAGATAACGTGTTACTAGTGGTGATAACATGTGTTGGGGAGAGATAACACGTTACTAGTGGTGATAACATGTGTTGGGGGAGAGATAACACGTGTTACTAGTGGTGATAACATGTGTTGGGGAGAGATACACGTGTTACTAGTGGTAACATGTGTTGGGGAGAGATAACACGTGTTACTAGTGGTGATAACATGTGTTGGGGGGAGAGATAACACGTGTTACTAGTGGTGATAACATGTGTTGGGGGAGAGATAACACGTGTTACTAGTGGTGATAAATGTGTTGGGGAGAGATAACACGTGTTACTAGTGGTGATAACATGTGTTGGGGGAGAGATAACGTTACTAGTGGTGATAACATGTGTTGGGGAGAGATAACACGTGTTACTAGTGGTGATAACATGTGTTGGGGAGATAACGTGTTACTAGTGGTGATAACATGGGGAGAGATAACACGTGTTACTAGTGGGATAACATGTGTTGGGGGAGAGATAACACGTGTTACTAGTGGTGATAACATGTGTTGGGGGAGAGATAACACGTGTTACTAGTGGTGATAACATGTTGGGGAGAGATAAACACGTGTTACTAGTGGTGATAACGTGTTGGGGAGAGATAACACGTGTTACTAGTGGTGATAACATGTGTTGGGGGAGATAACACGTGTTACTAGTGGTGATAACATGTGAGAGATACGTGATTATGGTGATAACATGTGTGGGGAGAGATAATGTTTAGGTGATAATGTGTTGTGGAGAGATAAACGTTTAGTGGTGATAAATGTGTGGGAGAGATAACACGTACTAGTGGTGATAACATGTGTTGGGGAGAGATAACACGTTACTATATATGTTGGGGAGAGATAATACGTGTTACTAGTGGTGATAATATGTTGGGGGAGAGATAACACGTGTTACTTAGTATAACATGTGTTGGGAGGATAACACGTTACTAGTGGTGATAACATGTGTTGGGGAGAGATAACACGTGTTACTATGGTATACATGTGTTGGGGAGAGATAACATGTTACTAGTGGTGATAACATGTTGGGGGAGAGATAACATACTTAGGGTGATAACATGTGTTGGGGAGAGATACGTGTTAATAGTGTGTAACATGTGTTGGGGGAGAGATAACACGTGTTACTAGGTGATAACATTGTGTTGGGGGGAGAGATAACACGTGTTACTAGTGGTGATAACATGTGTTGGGGAGAGATAACACGTGTTACTAGTGGTGATAACATGTGTGAGAGATAACACGTGTTACTAGTGGTGATAACATGTGTGGGAGAGATAAATGATAGTGGATACATGTTGGGGGAGAGAATGTTACAGCTAGTGTGATAACATGTGTTGGGAGAGATAAAACGCTGTTACTAGTGGTGATAATATGTTGGGGAGAGATAACACGTGTTACTAGTGGTGATAAGTTGTGGTAGAGATAACACGTGTTACTAGTGGTGATAACATGTGTTGGGAGAGATAAACGTGATTTAGTGGTGATAACATGTGTTGGGGAGAGTAACACGTGTTACTGGTGGGATAACATGTGTTGGAGAGATAATGTTACTAGTGGTGATAACATGTGTTGGAGAGATAACACGTGTTACTAGTGGTGATAACATGTGTGGGAGATAACATGTACGTAGTATAAATGTAGAGAGATAACATGTTACTAGTGGTGATAACATGTGTAGAGATAACACGTTACTAGTGGTGATAACATGTGTTGGGAGAGATAACACGTTATTAGTAGTGAAACATGTGTTGGGGAGAGATAAGCATGGTAACATGTGTTGGGGGAGAGATAACACGTGTTACTAATGTGTAACATGGTTGGAGAGAAAGTGTACATAACATGTGTTGGGGAGAGATAACACGTACTAGTGTGATAAATGTTAGAGATAACACGTGTTACTAGTGGTGATAACATGTGTTGGTGGAGAGATAACACGTGTTACTAGTGGTGATAACATGTGGGGAGAGATACACGTGTTACTAGTGATAACATGGTTAGAGAGACGTGTTATGTGAGTAAGGTGGGAGAGATAAACGTGTTACTAGTGGTGATAACATGTGTTGGGGGAGAGACACGTACAGGTGATACATGTTGGGGAGAGATAACACGTGTTACTAGTGGTGATAACATGTGTTGGGGGAGAGATGAGTGATACATGTTGAGAGATAACACGTGTTACTAGTGGTGATAACATGTGTTGGGGAGAGATAACACGTTACTAGTGGTGATACATGTTGGTAGAGATAACACGTTACTAGTGGTGATAACATGTGTTGGGGGAGAGATAACACGTGTTACTAGTGGTGATAACATGTTGGGGAGAGATAACACGTGTTACTAGTGGTGATAACATGTGTTGGGGGAGAGATAACACGTGTTACTAGGTGTGATAACATGTGTTGGGGAGAGATAACACGTGTTA